TTTAGAGAACTATATGCATATGTACACACACACACATGAAATTAATATCTATACTCCTATACAAAGAGAAAGACTAGGCCTTAAGTGAGTTTCTATCATATACTGTCGGCAGTGTAGGGTTGAAGTGTGTAGTGTTGGGGAGCATGGATCCTTGCAGATTTAGCATGAAGCGCAATCAGGACTAGTCCATCATCCTCCGTATGGTAGTTGCTGAAGATCTTATGGGTAATTTTGACCTTCTCGCTCTGTAAAGGTTTTATCGATTCCTGCAACATCTGCAGTTTGTACACTCCAACGACCTCAGGTATAGATGCGACTCCATCGCAACAGTATAGCTGAATGAGGCCGCCACGAGCAAGATTGTTCCTCAGCTGGCGCATTTGCCAGGCCGCCAGATCGAGTCAAGATACTATGGTCAGAATCGAAAGCAAACACATCTCGAGATAAGGCTCCGGGGTTTAGGCACATATCGAGCAAACCAGCAAACCCTAAACCACAAACTCTAAACCCCTAAACCCGAAACCTAAACTCTAAGCCCCAAACCCCCTGCCTCTACACGAATGCCCAGCTTGCTCCTGCATCAGAGATTTCAGCTAATGTAGGGCCTAAATAATTGCCTATATTATTTTGGGGGGTTCCTCATTATAACTACAGCAAAATGGGCCCCAAGACCCTAATTCTAATTATTAAAGGCCCCTACATTACGCTCTCATTGTAACTACAGCAAAATGGGCCCCAAACCCTAATTCCAATGATTAAAGGCCCCTACATTACGCTCGAGGGTTCAGCTTCAGCCCTTGCCAGGCCAAAGGAGTCTAAGAGGCCGTGGAACTAGGGCTTTGGGTTTTGCCTTGGGGTTGTGGTTTAGGGTTTAGGATTTAGGGTTTAGGGTTCTTTGGTTTAGGGTTTTGGTTTAGGGTTTAGGGTTTAGGGTTTGGGGTTTAGGTTTAGGGTTTTGGTTTAGGGTTGTTGTTTAGGGCTCAGGGTTTGGGGATTGGGGTTTAGGGTTTTGGTTAAGGGTTTAGGGTTGGGGGTTGGGGGTTTTTAGGGTTTAGGGTTTAGGCGGTTCAGGGTTTAAGGTTTCAATTCAGGGGGCCTTAACATACATTTCCTTTTGTCTCCATTGTAGCAGCTCCGTTTTTTGGCTTAATAAATCCAAACTCTTGTTTAGGATTTTGCAATTGTATGGTGACCGAAGAGGGAACTACAATGGAGACGAAGGTAGAAAAGGAGACTGAGATCGAGACGCAGGGGCTTGGATTTGGGTGTTGACCTATACTACCTAGTCATGACTAGGATACGTTGACACACCACCTCACACACTTGACCCCGGGTTCAGGTTCGGGGTTGGTAGCTTTAAATTAGGGTTTAGGGTCCAGGGTTTGGGGTCGCTTCTGGTGAGGCTTTCGGGCAGACGGTTCGCGCATGGCCTTCAACACAAAGGCCGTTCTAATTCAAGCCCCACGGGCGTCTACTCTAAAGCTCATAAAGTCCTCAAGTGCCCTGCAAGGGATACCGTAAGGTAGGGGTTTAGGGGTTCAGGCATTTTAGGGTTTAGGGGGGTTTAGGGTTTAGAGATTTAGGGTTTAGGATTCTGCGAGTCACTACAAGGATTGTGAGGGTTTTGACTCCCTGGGCTCCTCATCTCAGAGTTCACCAGCGATGCGTAGGGAACCAGCACCACGTCTGCCTTGGCAATGCCGGCTTTAAGTTCGGCATTGTAGGTAATTTTCGGTTCTGCTCAAGATACCTATACCCTAAACCCTACACTCTAAACCCTAAACCCTAAACCCACCTTTCAACGTTATCCGCCCATGGAAGGCTTGAGCGTGCAAGTTTTGTGTTCACGATCCTAGCATTCAGGGTTTTGGGGCTGCCAGGGTACAATGTCTAGGGGTTGTGAGGCCTTTAGAAAATATGGCTGAGGTTTCGGTTTCAAAAAGCCACTAAGCTCTACAATGCTGTGTTAAGATGCATGTCATCGTCATGTCACATGCAGTTCTGAAGCACAAGCCTTGAATCTCACTCAACTCACACGGAGGCCAACGTCTCTGGCTTTAGCATCAACATCCCAAACCCTGGAGCTCCTTCAACCTCGTCAGTCCAGTCGGTAGGCCCAACAAACGGGAAGCTACAATTCGAACTCACCCTGCCGCAATCCGAAACCAGAAGCCTTTAAACTTTAAGCTCCAGCCCTGTTGTAGCTACATCCCCACATTCCTGAAGCTTACACCACTACCACGACGTACATACACCCAAGCCAGCCTACAAGCATATTGCCGACGCTTTATGTTAGGACAATAGCTACAAGGTAAAACCGTTTAACAAGCAAGGATGAAAACCCCAAACCTCACACCAAATACGCAGCGACAGCAGTAGAACACCACCATGGAGGAATGTCGGAGGCTTTACCAGCAACTAAAATCCTAGACCCGCAAGCCAAAACGGAAGAGTCCTAAACGACAAACCCCTTTCCTTACCTTCCTCCCTAAATCACAGGAGATGTCTTCAATCTCCTTCCTTTCCCGCCTCGGAGACAGCGCCACGGCTGCCGTAGTAGGGGCAGCCTACGTTGAAAAGCTCATGGGCTCAGTTCAGGCTTTCGGGCTTACGGCCGGGTAAGCTTGGGGTAAGCTCGGGTTGAAGGGATAGGATTACCCATGGGCCCCGTAGTAGTTTGTTTTTGTGGCTTATATTTAGGATTCTAATAGGGAATCAAAAAAGCAACTACTATGGGGCCTATGGGTAGAGAAGTTACAAGTACGGTTGAGGAAGTCCCAGGCAAGGTTCTCAAGTACGTAGCCCCGGCGAAACGGAATCATTCAGCATCAAGACAAGGGAGGAGGCTACATGTGCCTTCCAGAAATGGAGAATTAAGTAGGCTGGGGAGGGGTCTTGTACGGCCCCAAGATTCAACGAACGATCTTAACAATGTAACAAGTTCAGCTTACCCCATCCAGACCAGCTGCAGCTGATACCCACACTCTCGCAGTTTTCTGGCCTCCACCAACCGGCCAGCGTCCACGGTCTGCCATCGCCTGCCGGACTCAGCTGGGGGATTCTAGGGGTTGTATACTGAATCGACCTGTGATTCAGGGGATGTTTTACTTCCCTAGACCCCTAAACCTCTAAAGCCCTAAACCCCTAAACCCTAGACCTCTAAACCCCTAAATCCTAAACCCTAAACCTTGGAACGGTCTGGGGTTTCGGATCTGGGATTGTGGTTCGGGCTGCGGCATCCACGACTTCAAAGAGCCTCAGTGAGTGTCCATGTACTGTCATGTCACCAGGTTGCGATCGTGAAGCCAGCAAAACCAATACTATAGGGGTGTTAATAGATAGCATAGGGCTTTGGGGCACACGATGCTTTCATGTAATAAGGAACCCCAAGGAACAATATTTGTAATCATGTTGGCTTCTATATTGCCGGCAGATTCAGCATTGTCTTCGCTGCACGGGTTCTGGCGGTCCGATACCGCCTGCCTGTGCCTCAACATCCTTGCGATCCTCGATGATTAAAAGTTTAGGGTTTAGGGCTTATACAGAGAGTTCATGATGTGCTGTTAACCTGGTAAGCGATTAAACAAGACAGAACTCTCTTGAGTGTGGAGTGTAGAGTCTACACTTAACGATACTCTACAGCTTCGTTTTCAACGGCGGCAGTCAGAACCCTGGAGCAGAAAAGATGACAGGAACCTCATCGTTCACATAAACCAAACTTGGTAGAGTCGTCCAGGGCTTCAAGGGTTTAGGCTTTAGGGTTTAGGGTATAGGGTTTAGGGATTAGGGTTGCAAACAACTTACGGAACATGACCGGCAGCCACAACTGTCAAACAGCCCCCTTCCAAACACAACACAAACAAAGCAGCAGTGATAGAAGAAAGACTAATGTCACTGCCATAAGTGCTACCGTATGTGCCGCAACAGCAGCAGTAACCACAGCTGCTCCTGCAACTACGGCTAATGCTGCTGCGTCATCATAGCCGTTGTCGTCGCCATCCCCCTTGTCTGATGGTACTCGCAACAAGTTGTCCATCCTGGCGACGTTTTTACCTTTCATCTCTGGAATCTTCTTCATCGGATTAACCACCATCGCCTCTGAAGATATTGTCGCCATCATCGTCACCCAAACCATCGTCATCATCGTCATCCTCCTCATCACCATGATATTTATCATCAGCAACAGTTCCGTCATCATCCTCGCCCACATCACCAACTATCAGTACTTGTGCGCAAATGATGCGGCAATCCTTGTAACTACAGCGAGCGGCATATGAGACACCAATGCGAAGGTATTTTCTTGAGAAGTACTTCGCGCTCTATCAATCGAGAACGCTCGTAACAGCACGGCCTTTGGCCAGTCGCAAGCAAAAGCACGTCACTGTCCAGACCCTAGAGAGATGGGCCATGTCGAAACCGGGTCAACTGGGCACTTCGGGTATCTGGCACTGGAGTTGCCCAGACCTTCCAAAATCCCTAAATCAAGGACTATACCTCAAACAACAGTAGGGCCCCTGCTATGATTTAAGGTACGTTCCTTAATCAAGGACTTTACCTCAAACAACAGTAGGGTCCCTCATATGATTCAAGGCACGTTCCTTATGTAAGGGATTGTGGAAGGTCCGCATTGGAGAGACTGCGAAGTCGAGTAGTGGTGCAGGATGTTCAAACCCAGAGAGCCCAATACCCCTTCGATGAGGAATATACCTTAAGCCATAATATTAAGGCCCCTATAGTTTAAGGTAGACTGAATATACCTCAAATCATGATATTAAGGCCCCTATAATTTAAGGTAGACTCCTTAGTTAAGGGGTATTGGGTGCTCTGGAACCCTCTGTTCGCGCGAATGTCGGCGATTCCAGTGCAGGAACTCTGCGACGCCTGGGAAGCAAGCCTATTATCTCCTTCAGGGTCTAGGACTTGGATGACGTGGTCCGGTCGGCAGTCTCGCCGGAACATTAGAAAAACGGCTGAGACGACTCTCAGCAAGCTGAAGGCCTCTAGACGACCACCTCAGCCCGGGAGACTTCGCAGCAGCTTGCTGTCACAGGGAATTTGATAGCGCACTTCAAATCGGCGGGGCAGCTCACTTCCTGCGGGAGAGTCGGATTGCAGGGGCCTTTTATAATTTGAATAGGTTCTGGGGGTATAAACTCTAAACCCTAGAGTATATATTATATCGTAGAATTATAGAATAAATCTGAATAAGTGTTTTCGGACTACAAGGGTGCACGAGTTCAATTGTTTAGACGTCTATAGTTACTAGGCTCTTCAGGTATTAAGCTTGAGACATCGGCTTCTATTGAGAATCTGTTTGGAGTTGCGGAATTCTGGGCTTTAGCAGACCCTGAAGTGAAGGTGCTCAAGGGTTTGGACTTCAGGGGTAAGATGTGGTGCGGCTCCCGTACCAAACCTTCAATTCCACACAACCATGTAGGGTTCAGGCACAGCCGTTGAAACCGTCCATCGAGTCAAACATTGAGGTTTCGGGTTTCAGCGCCTTCCCGGGTTTAGGGATTAGGGTTTAGGGATTAGGGTTTCTATCGTGACCTGTTCCTCCGGGACTCAAAGAGACTGTGAGGCAGACATCAGATACCTGTGTGCGACCTTTATCTAGCTGCTCAGACGGGGTATAGACGTATACCTAAACCCTAAACTCCCAAATTCTAGCCCCTAAACCCCTAAATTCGAATCCCCAAACCCCTAAAATTCTCAACCCTAAACCCCTAAATTCTAGCCCCTAAACCCCTGAACCCCTAAACACCCTAGCTATAGCTCTTGCAAAAAGCCTATCGAACAGCGGGGAGCAGAACAAGGCAGGGAGATCCTAGTGAAGAGCATGATCCTGCAGATGAAGTAACGGGGTTTAGGGTTTAGGGGTAAAGGGTTTAGGGTTCAGGGGTCAAGGGTTCAGAGTTTAGGAGTTTAGGGTTTAGGGGTAAAGGGTTTAGGGTTTATGGGTAAGCTTCTAACAAAGGCGAACTTCCAATGCGACGTGACTAAACCTGAAATGCAACCATAAAAGTCCATGCAGTCCTGCACTCAAGGGCTCCAGATTCCAGTGGTCCCTTTTTCAAGGGACCCGAAGTTAGAGAACTACCCACTTTAGACCGCTATAAATATACCCTCATAGGCACCTTATAGAAACCCTTGTAGATCCCCTTATAAGCACTGCGGCAGTCAGGTCCTTGTGGTTTCGGAAGTAGATGTGTGCCGTTGACCAAGAGTCGATCACGCCCGCGAAGTCGCAATCGGCATCGCAGGTGTTCTTGCACATGTTCTCCTGGGTGTAGGGTTTAGGGTTTGGGTGGTCGTGCACATGTTCTCCTGGGCTTTGTTTAGGGTTTAGGGTTTAGGTGTTCTTGCACATATTCTCCAGGATTTCGTTTAGGGTGCAGGATGGAGGTTTTCGGAATTCTGGTCAAACCGTGTATGGTTGCTACTATGCTTGTCTCGGATACATGGATTCAAAGCGTTGGAGTTGTAGCATGAATTTTGAGCCTAGGGTCAGGGATGAAGCCCTCAACACCAAACCCTCAATCTTATCAAAATTAGAATAACTAGAACCTGGCTCCAAAGACCCTACAAGCCTAAAACCCTATAAAGCCTTAAGCCCTATAACCCCAAAACCCCAGACACCCTTAAGCCCTATAGCCCCAAACCCTATAAACCCTGAACCCTATACCCTAAACCGTTAAGACGCGTATACAAGGCATGGAACCCCATCGAACCCCGGAGCCATCGAAAGGGGCCAGGACGGAGGTCCGACAGGAGCGAAAGGCACCGAGAACGAAGAGCCAAAACCTCCCAACACCCTTATCAGCCCCAGTCCCAACACCTCAAACCCTAAACACTAAACCCTAAACCCTAAATCCCAAACCCCAAGCCCAAAACCGAAACACTAAAGCTTCGGTCGTACGCTGAAACCCTAACCCCGAAACCCTAAACCCCAAACCCTAAACCCTAAACCCTAAACCCCAAGCCAAGGCCACGGGAGCCAAGGGGCGTTCGACAAGCTCGAGGGCTCCCACTCATTGGATTTGATGAAAGGGAGGGAGATCTGAGCTCAAAGTTTAGGGTTTAGGGTTTAGGGTTTAGGCTTAGAGTTTGGGGCTTGGGGTTTGGGGCGGTTTGGGGTTTAGGGTTTGGGGCTTACGGCTTAAGGCGCAGCCGGTGTAATATAGGGGCCTTGATACTTACGAAGCATAAGAGATGATTTCGGTAGCATAGGGTGTTCTGGCACCTTAGACTTTCAACAGTGAGGAATCCAAAAACAAACAGTATTCCGAGGTATTGAATTGGGCTTCTACTAACATGACAGCAGGTGCCAGGCATAGGAGGGCTTTCCAGGAGTCTCGAAGTTCCGGGCTTCATGCTGAGGGTTTCGAGGTTCAGGGTTCCCTAGGGGTTTAGGGTTTTGGGGTTTAGGGTTTGGGGTTTAGGATTTAAAAGGTTTGGGGTTTAGGGCTTGGGGTTTTAAGAGTTTGGGGTTCAGGGTTGGGGGTACCATGGGTACCATACCATACAAGGGCGTCACGGCACTGCGCAAGCACCTATGGACGTTGAAAGATAGCTCCCTCATAGCAGATATAGGGCATGTTGCGTCATCGGGGGGGGGGGGGGTTGTTACATGTTGCTATAGTGGCCTATTGTAACCCCAGCAGGATCATGGGACTTGGCAAGCACGTAAACACCAAATCCCAAAAGAATACCCTAAGAAGAGCTGACTGCTTGACTGCTCATTTGCCATTCCGGGACCGGGACCTGGGACAAGTGGGCTGCAAAGAAGATGGCGTTGATTTCTCCTGCCCGTACGGCCCAAAACCCTACACCCTAAACCCGAAACCCTACACCGCAAACCCTTAAACCCTCAATCCTGAATCCTAAACCCTCAAGCCCTCAATCCTAAATCGTAAACCCTCAAACCTTCAATCCTGAATCCTAAACCCTCAAACCTTCAATCCTGAATCCTAGACCTGGCTCTGGGGTTCAAGGATTTCAGGGCTCCGAATCTTCTGGGTCCTTGCCCAAAGGTCCTATGCACTGTTATGGGCGAGACTCCCCTAAATCACGGTTTAGGGTTTAGGGTTTAGGGGGGTAATATCCCCCTGTGGTCCTTGCATGGCTATACGATACTGGGCCCCAAAACCCATTCAAGCCCCTAGGTTACTCTTCATACTACTGTTCGCGATGGGCACACTGTCACTGCACCCTGAACCGCAACCAAGTCAAACGCCCAAATGCCCAACAACATCGCCCTTTGAGAGCTCCGGGCAAGGGTCCTTCAAACCAACCCGGGTGTTGAATGCTAAACCCTGGGCCCTAGCTCTCGATACCTGATCCGTATAAACCCTAGTGACCGAACCCTAAACCCGAAACCTTATTGACCACACCCTATCAGTAAACTCTCAATCCAGGACCCCGAACCGAAACTCCTCAATGTGGCGGTTTCCGCGAGAACTAGGACCACAAAAAGGGGTTACTAACGCCTTGCATGGTATGGCGTACCGAAAGTCTCCACTGAGTTGGTTTTTTCGACAAGTTTCATATGTATGGTCCTATATAATCCTACAAGGTAACCCGGAACAGTGATAGAGACTATAGGTGACGGTCCAACAGCCGGAACATTGAAGGTGGCTTTCCCCACTATGGATTGGCGCAGCTCCTTCGTGGTACATGGTGACGACCGGGAACAGATTCCTCAGCGGAAGCAACCCTTGTCCCAAAGCCTGAACCCTAAACCTCTAACCTCCAACTTCCCAACCCTAAATCCCGAACCCTAAGCCTCTAAACCCGAAGCTCTGAGCGGTTTGTCATCAGGAAGTTCATGCATATTGCAAGTCCCAAAGAGCCCAGCTGCCTGTCTAGAGGCGACACTGATCTGTTGATACTATGATGCTCATATACTTGATTGTCCAAAGAACAGTACACTAATACATACTAGTATGTGATCGCAAAAAAAACGAGGCGCGACGGGCAGAGGCAGGGCAGGTAGGGGCAGGGGCTTCGGAAGGGCACAGGGACGAAGCTGGCGTGGACACGACGGAAACAGAAGCAGGCGGACCACTCCGGCTCTGGTCGCCTACTTACCTAAAGTCTCTATTGTAGTTCTTTTTTCGGATTACCTTATAGGATTCTTAACATAGTAATGGTCAACCCAAAAAAAGGAACTACAATGGAGACTATAGGTAGATAGGTTTTTAGAAATGCATGAAGGCAGCATGTATGGGCTCTCATTTCTATCAGTACCCCCAAGCGTAATCGAAGCCTTGTAGTAAAGATACCTAATATCATGTATTTCGTCTAGCCCCCTAAACCCTAAACCCCAAACCCTAAACCAAAATTTAGGGATCACTTTTCGGAAGGATCTCGTCAGCTGCTGCTGCGGCGTCAAACGCACGGACTGAAGGTTTGGTCTTTTAGGATTTGCGCTTGTCGGTGGTAGGATTAGTGTAGGGGCCTTAATAATTAGGATAGGGCTGGGGCCCATTGTACTATAATTATGATAAGGAACCCCCCAAAATAGTATAGGTATTTATTTAGGCCCCTATATACGGGCTCAGGGTTTGGGGGTCGAGGGTTGACGGTCGGGCTTCAAGTAATCGGGTATACTTTGGGGCTCAGGGCGGAGTAGGGCTTTCCCGAAGGGTCCATGGCCCATATGGACCAAAGTATTCTTATAGGGACTACTTTAGGGCCTAAGTATGTGCTATATGATTACATGGGTAATTCTCTAAATTAGGGCGCCTTCTTTAGATCCCCAAAATAGCATGGCACCCTTTAAGACAGGGACCCTAAACCCTAAACCTAAAACAACGGGGCCGTAAGCCCTAAACCCTTAAAAAAGGGGCTCTAAAAGCACCCTTAAACAAAAAAAGACCCTAAACCCTAAACTCTTAAAAACAAAAAAAGGAACCCTAAACTTCCTTAAAACAAAGGGGCCCTAAACCCTAAACCCTCAAAAACAAGGGACCCCTGAAAGGGGGCCGCCTTGTGAGGCACCTGGGCTTGACGAGTCGGCTTGTAAGTATGCGTAAACTGATGGAGGGCCGCGGGTAACATAGAGGCCTGGTATGTGAAGGATTTCGGGGGGTAATATAGGGGCCTTAATGATTAGAACAGGGTTTTGGGGCCCACACTATAATTATACTGAGGACCCCCCCCCCAAAAAAAAAA